AACAGAGACCAGATTTCGTAGTTTTCAACTGATGAGGAGTCTCCACCAGAAATCTATCGCTGGTGAATTCCGAGCTGAAGATCGAATGCTCACCTTGGAGGCTCCTCGAAGTTTCGGATACGTCTAGACAATGCACATGATAGAAATAGAACCGTCCGCTGCTTCAAACAAGAGAAAGGGTCGATAGTCGTACTTTACTCCTGCGAAGCAGTTAGCTCCATTAAACCCAGTCAGTGCGTTCGAGGAAAAAAACAGCAGGTAGTCCTGACGTACTACCGGTGCGGTGGGATGGCGTGAAAACGTCACCCGTATCCGTTTTGAACCGCGATTCCTACTGCATTCGAATGACAATTGACATTGAACGCGTAGTCGTCATCAAGAGACCGCGGCAGACACCGCACCATAGTATCTCCATCAACCGGAACATTGATAATCTGGCCAACAATGGCATGAGAGCGTTCATTGCGAAGGCGACGAGTCTGCATGAAAGGAATACGGGGTGAAATGAGTCGTTCGGTGATTGGGTCGAGTTTATACCCGTTGCTCTTACTCATGGAGGAAATCTAATTCTCTTATAATCTTATATCTCTTTGTCCGAAAAACCTTGAAACAATTGGAGCATAATCTGAACCCTGCCCTCACGTGGTCTGGGAAGATGTCTTTCAAAAACATCGCTATCCGAGGGAATGCCATCTTCAAGTCGCGCTCGACCCATAAACGGTCGCATACGTCGCATGCATGACCGACCACATCGTCCATGAATGTACTTTTGAAACGTGCTGTGGGCTGTGGAGCGTTCTTAAAGTTCAGAGAATTTAGGATCTCTTGTAACTGCGATATCGTCTCGATCGATACTTGCCGGACAAGCCCCGATAGTCCGTTGCTCTGCCGGCGACGACGACCCATCTGAAGCATCAGAATCTGACGAAATACTTAGGTACTTATGAATGTTGGGACTCCGTTCCCGGTCACCTCGGTGCCCGTATATCGAATGAACGCTCGTTTAGGCTGAGCGATTGATGTCTTCGGCCGTTTACGTGCAGCGCCCGATGAAGCATTCGCCCGTCTCTTCCGACGATTCAAACTCGCTCGTTTCGGCCGCGCCATTGATTAGGGAACTACTAGCAACAAGCTTCGTTTTCGTGGACGACCTACGAGAGCCCAATCAGAGCATTGACTTCGTCGTTCCGGAAACTTTCAAGGTCATCCCGAGGGCGTCAAATCCGCGATGTTTTTCTGCCCATGCGTAATAACAACACGCTCTTCCGCGGAAATGATATTCTCCGCTGATGGGCATCGTTTCGGTGTACCGTATAACGCGGATTCGTTCCATTCCGCATGATGTGAGAGCTCGTCGAAGCGATTATTTTTCGGATTTCAAGCTATTTCAGAGGGCTCTGCAGAATAGGTCGCGTGCGCGCTACAAGACAGCGAGCTCAATGAACGTGAGGCTGATGGAAATGCCGTTCCTGAGCTATGATAAAATACGATTCCGGCAGCACAATAGACGCGGGGACTGGGGCAACAGGCCGTCAACGTTGGACAACTTCTCAAGGTCAAATGACGAAGTTCATTCGGTCTGTCATCAAGGCAACTTTAAAGACGTTTTCACGTCAAAAGTACTAGTACTGGCAACTTTTGCTCGCTCCGCGCGTCTTTCCGGCTCTCCAGACGCATTTTCGCATTTTTTTTCAATGATATCCGTATCCGTGCCTTTCTCGGCATTCGCAAAGTCGATATCGCGGGATTTCCGAGGAAAAGTTCCTGACAAATCCCCCATTACCTCCTTTCTTTCTCTATGCCTTAACTCGATTATCATCTCGTACGTCGTGAACTATGATACATCTGCAGATAATTATTGAGTACAATGAGTCAGAATGTCTTTCTAGCGCAGCGCTACACATTTTCACGAGGGTGTCCAGTGGGCGTCGATCTCGTGTCTCCGAATAAGGTGTACCATCGGAGAATCGGAGTATGCTTTGCTCAGGAAAGCGTCGAGTACACATGCGAGGAAGAGCCTGATACGACACAAGTCCCTTGAAGGACTTCTTCTTCGAAGCCTTCTTCGCATGCTTATAGCGACTTTGCTCGCCCCTCCTCAATGTTTTCGAGCCCACCTTCCGAAAGATTCTCGTGCCGTGCGAATCTCCTAGCTCTGGGAATAATCACTACAGGCCTAATTGATTCTCGCCTCTCAGTGTGGTGTATCGAAACCATTGCAATATGATCTGTACTCTCGAGAGGTGCTTATTTCCCAGAAAATAAAGCCAGCGCGACCAGTTGGGCGCCGAGCCGTTTGGGCCCGAGTCGTTTGGACGCAGAATGTTCTGCTCGAAGAGCCTTTATGAATTAACCGGAGAACACTGCGGCTCCTCGCGCGCAGTATCTAATTCCCCCAAGACTGCTCCCTCGGAAGGGACTTCCTTAAGCCACGTCTTCGAATTCGTTCATATCGTACAGCTTCACGCAGTGGCAACATCGACAAAGCAGTTCTGGAACGATCAGAACATCTCCCTCGTCGAATGAATCAAGCGCGATAGAAACCTGCGGAAATTGCTGGCTCGAAACTTTCATCTATTACTTTGTGTGTGCTGTGAAATCTTATTTGGATCCTGAGTTTAGGAAGCTTGAGAATATCTTGTCCGGGAAGAGAATCCTATCGAATGTCTTCGGTCCCAACTCCAGTCAAATCGAATCGAGGACGAGACAAAACGTGTCACGATGGTTTCATGTATGTGCTCGACCGATCCAGTTCAGATCTTACGATGGAATTCTGGAGGTGTCAGTTTAAAAAATCGTGTAGAGTCTGCACAGGCTCCTCGCAAATGGTGAGGTCGTAAGCGTATCAGGATCTCATAGTGAT